GAAAAATTCGCTTAATGGAATTTTAGAAACAACATTAGAAGCAATAATTAAGGAAGAATTGAGAATTTAACTTCATTGTTAAAGTTTTCTCGAAGAGCTTTCATGTACCATATTCTCTTTTTTCTTGCTCTTTCTTGTTAAGTTTTTAATTTAACAAAATAAGGTCCAGTTAATCTCGTAACAGCTTTCCTGCTAAGTACTGCAATCAAATATGATCAGTACTACTCGGTAGCACCGACTTTTCAGTCCATGGCATTATCCTTCGCTATTTATTTAAAGCGAATCACTTTGAATCACCTATTTCACTATCTACTTCCACAAATGACATCGTTGGTTGTTGTCCTGTAGTCATTGACGTACTTCCGAATATTTTTCGTCTTCCTGTAAATGATCGCTCTGTTTACGGTAGGAAACACTCACTGTGTCATGTTTGAGCTGACTTGAGCTTAATTGTAGCAATGCAACTGGAGTAACCCAATCGCCTGAATGACAACTTCCCGTCGTCACTCATTCAATGACGATCGGAAGTAATCACACTGATTGCATTCGTATCGCAGTAAAATAATCGTCATCTACTACTATGACTTTACAACTATATACGTTTAAATTTTTGTTTTTCGCTAAGGCTATTTTTTGTTATTTATAAGTATTTACTATGAAATTCATGAAGTTCTCGTTTTTGCTTCAAATGCTAAGTCTCCTTCAACCTCTACATCGATAATTATTTCAGCCTATTCATAAAACTACACAAAGCCTTTCTTCTATAAAACTTTGGATTTTGCATTAGAAGACATTTAGGCCTTTTTTTTAAACCTCTGTAGTTTTTAGGGGCGCGTGTGGCGCAGTGGTCGGAGGTGCCCTCCAACAGACACGTGGAAACGATCCAAGCGCCCATGACCCACTAGGCCTTCCATCCTTCCGGGGTCGGTTCATTGATACTGGACCTGTCTGGGAGGAAAGCAGCACTGGCTCGATTCATCGGTAGACGACTGCGAGTTATTGTAAAAGCCAGATCTTCATTCAATCACCTCCAAACGATGCTTTATGAAGTAGAATGCATGGCGCTTTCCTCAGGGATTGATCAACGTCGACAGCATTGTCCTTTTTATATAGTTTTTCATGTATGGTTTCCTAAATATAATTTTATAGCGCACATCTGGATTCAAACTTTTACGTGAACGCTTTTCCCTTGAAACTAATTTGTATCCGACTTTTTATTTCCTGCCTATAAGTTTTTTTACGGCAGGGTATTATGTGAAATGATGCTGAGATTATGGCCTGGCGTCCAAGTTTCGTAAATATCTCAGCGACGTTGTGGTTGTAATGTGTTCATTTTAAGCCTTTGGCGGAAAACACTAAAAACGATTCACTGTACGAGTTCAAACCGGGATGGTTGGTAATACGGGTTGCACCAAGTGGCGTTTGACTCGGAGATGATTCACTAACGTCGCAGGAGGCAAGATTGGCTTCAAAGTTTTCTGACGGTAATGAAGAATACTGGAAAAGATCCAACGACACCGATGATAGCTATCTGAAGGTGTTAAACAGAGCAGAGCAACCAGATTGAACAGTTGTGGAAGGAAAAGGAGTAAGTTAAACAATAGTTCCTGACTATGCAACCAGAGTGAAAGTTGGTGAAAGTTGAAGGAAATACGAGTTTAAAGAATGGCAAAGATTTGGCCGTCAAGTAATCAACTTTGTGTCTCCTATGTGTAATTATTAGATTCGACTAGAAATCGATTCAATACAGCCAGCGACATTTTCTGTAGTATTGGAAGCAAATGAGACGCTGACACCGATCAAGCGAGATTTTCATTCAGACAAGCTTATGGATGAAATTCCCATGACTGGCAAATGGAATTTTCCGGAAGAACTTCTTAATTTTTGGCGAAGTCACTAGATCGATCAAATACCACCAGTAACAAATCGCATCAAGAACTGCAACATTTGTGGTTTTCTTTGACGAGCCAGTGAAGGCTAAGTTTACTAGGTGCCTCGCGTTTCAAAAGGTGGAAGACAAAGATGGTAGCTTTTCTAGGCTGTCTTATTCGTTTGATGCTTAACAGATCTACCATCAAAAGACCACCATTTCTTTGAATACCTGGGAAAATGTTTTTTCTCAAGAAGGCATTCATTGATGAAAATGTCTTAAACGACTCTATCAAATCACTGAGATCTGAGTTATTAAAGATTCAAAGACAGGATTTCTCCTCTCGATCACCTTATGACGTGGTGTATTGCTCAAATTTCGGTAGTTGATGAAAATCAAGCATATAATAACTCATTTGACTCATAACTAACTCATAGCTCAACTCATATCATTTGACATATGTCATTTCAATAAGCACGTAGTAAAGAACAGAACTTCCTTTCTAACGATATACCACCTTTAATTATACCACTGTTGAAAAAAGACATGAATAACGTCATCCGGGGGAAGTTCGTAGATGCTGAAATATTTCGCCGATAAACAACATGGATTACATAGATTCGAACTTTTTGCTTTATGAATAAGATATACGAAAAGTTTAAAGCTTAAAGAGCATAGTGGAAGTGCACTAATTTTTGAAATCGTTTCAACCTTAATTGGTGAAGTTAAATGAGTTGCTTGAAAACACTATAACATCTTAAACCTTGAAAACAAAGTAGTAGATTTCATGGCAATTAACTAGAATAGGATACAAAAGCCAAAAAAGTAATAAGAACTCAATTAACTGGACTTGGCTTGTGGCACCACATTTTGAGAGGTTAGTCAGTTATTTGATGGATTCTCTGGCTGTCTTGTCCACAGAAGCTCGAAAATGAAATGAAGATCTGCGAGCAACACATAGCACAGATATCTAGGGATTTTCAGAATAATGAATGCTTGACTAACATTCAATGAGACTTGAAGGGAAAAGATTGCAAGTCTTGATCTTGAGTCGTTCCCACATTCAAACCGAATCACCTTTGTAGTTGAAGAGTGAAAGACATCTAAACGAACTGAAAAAGTGTTGGGAATAGCACGAATCGTAGAAATTTCATCCTTGTCTAGTTCTCAATACGCTGCAAAGTTCCAGGAACTCTGAAGGACACGATTTATAAAGAGCCTACTTCTTCTGCTGCTGCTGCTAGTCCATTCTTGTCTTAAAAATGGGCATTTGATCAGCCCTTTTTTTTGAGGAAAAATTTTCGCTTCATTTTTTTTTATCTCAACGCCAACAATAAATGTAAAACCAAATGGCCATTGCTGTCAGTGTATAGCGAAAGGCAAAGAGTGTGATGCGAATGAGACTGAGCACATACTATCAATTTTGTTTGCAATCAGAAATCTTCACCCAATTCCTGATCACTTATCACTTGTTTTCTGAAGTCGAATCGTATTCAAATCTAATACTCTAATTTTGTGTAAACCAGCTTTTTATTCTCTTTACGTCGTTGTAGCATTCTGAGCTACTATCAATAATAGGGCCGTCAGTGCTTCTTATGAATGATTCTTCGCCAAAATTCGAGGCATCTGCTCCTTTCCGGTAACCTCTATTTGTCCTTCTAAATAACTGCTGTTCTTATTTGTTCTTATTTATGTAATTCTTGCAGTTGCAGATATGAACTTCTCAACGTTTCTAATATTTTTGCTCTCAATTGTGATCGTCAACTCGTTTAACATCGACTATCCTCAGTACTATGGTGGATTGGGATCGATGCGACGGATTGATGACGAAAACTACGAGAAGTTTGTTGGAAATAGCAAGATTTATGCGTTGTTAAACGCCTGATAGCAGACATACCTAACACTCCATAGCTAGTTCGCAACCGCATATATTTCTGTCCATGAGCAAAGCACAATTGCATAATATGCCCTAACGGTAGAGAAGGTGATTGCACGAGTTGGGTACGGTGTAGCTAATCTCTTTTAAAGCATATGGGAAAGAGTACCTTGGCGGAGCGGGTAGATCACTGCGCATCCATATAAAAGCATAAACACTGAGAATCAGTAAATTTAAGGCTAAACCAAACACTCCGCTGGGCGCTGATAGGACATAGAAACTGTGGGGGATTTTTTGAAGATGTAATTACCATTCTTGTATAGCAAAACCCTCGAAGCATTCTCGATAAATTCCGAAAATTTGGAAATGAACTATACCGAGAAATGTCTCGTTATTATGCGTGATCTCACGTAATATCTTACACATATTTTTATATGAGAGAGGGGCATTACGCACCCATACTCTGTATAGTTGGTCTCCACGTGAAGTACTCAGTGGAACACTCACAAAAAGTGGGTAATGTGCGAAGGTGGTATTTCGTTTCTAATGGGATTGCAATCTAGGTTTCATAGGATTTCTGTTGGAGTTGTGGAGGTTTTTCGTAGGCCAGATTGCTGTCGACTTGCCCTTTCCAAGCTCTGAAGAAGGCGAATCCGCCCAGGCGTCACCTTTTGCAAATATAGAGCACAGTGACCTCAAGTGTTCTAGTTAAGGAGAGAGGGAATTATAAACATTTATATTCTAAAAAAGCATAGACATATAGTAGATAATATATTGACTTTGTGAAAAATGTAAGAAACAAAAGCATAAACATGCATAGAAAATAGAAATATATATCTTCTAAATATGCACAGCAATGCTTTTCTCGTGTTTGTTCTCGAGTTCGAAGAAATCTTTAAGAAATTCGCAATCACCTTATTGAAATCTAGAACTATCCTTTCTCGAACGAATAATCCTTAGTTTAAAAACGGAGTTAAGAGCTAGCATGGGCTTAAGAAAATCAGGAATTATGGTGTATAGCATTTTTAACGTGTCGAAATATTAATTTTTCGAAAAGAGATTTTGATACGTTTGCCATTATTGGATTATACGACCTTAAAGTCTGATATCTCGGGTGATTTTCTTTCTTATCGATCATTATGAATTTAGCCTAGGTTTCGGCTTGCGATAAATAGCAGGACTTTGCTCTAGGGGTACTCGACTCAGACTAACTTTGACATTTCTGTGCAGAGTGAATAATTTGCAGCTCAAAGTACAGTAATGCCAAAAATAGCCGCAGTTTCGGAAAGAATCTGGTCACTAGCTAGCTAAGCCACGTTATTATGATACAAGAGAGCAGGGGATTGCCAAAGGTTCTGATCTAGGACGCACTGGAGCGGGTTCGTCGGAAGTTCATGGACTCGTTGTAAATTAAAACACGGCACTAATACGGAGATGTGTTACATTTACAATTTATTGTGAGAATAGAGCTTTCAAATAGTCAATTATAAACTGACAGCAACGGCGTGTATCATTTTTCAGATTTTGAATAAGAGAACTCTTTTTCTTGCAAATTAATGGTATATGAGCAACCTTTTCCAATTTATTTAGAAGAATAATGCCGATGAAGAATAGACGATCACCCCTTGATGGATTCGAAGATTTGTCTTCAGTGATGCGATCGATCGACGGAATCCAGAAACCAAGGTATGTCAGTGATATCTTTACGATACCCGTAAACTATTTTCACTACAAAAAATCTTTAAGTTATCATTACATGATAAGAAATCACTCGAAAAAATGCTTAATTACAAAAAAACCGAGACTAGTAGCCGTTCGTCATCCGCCACTTTCGAATTCACTCACTATTTACTGAAAAGATTTTGCGTAAAAGCAGAATGAGTAAGTAAAATTTGTTGGTGTCTAAAATAGGAAATATCGTATCATGGCGAAAACAGTCAGTTACCCAGTTTTTCATTAACGAAATAGGCTAACCTTTTCAATCTCAGGTTCGGCAAGAAGTGAGCACAGCCGCACCGATCGCTGTTGGGCAGGGCATTCATTTTCTCACGTTGAGAGCTGCAACGGCCTGTTCTTCTATGAATAAATCCTATTATAACTGTTATCAAACTCTGAATGTTTGACTTTTTCTGTGCAATTTCTATGGAAAATCATTACAGTGGTTTTTATTAGTGCATGTTCAGCGCAGTAACTGACGTTTACGATGAAATCGTGAAGAATATGACTTTAGTAGAGCATGAAACCGTCACTATTAGGTGTCGATGAGGTTGAAGACACCTTCAATACATAACGTTCAAAGATGACTTCTCAACAAAAGCCGATAATTTCTCTATCAATGCGATGTTTGAGGATTTGAGATTTCTAAAATTTCCATGGCGAGCATTGTACACGGAAATACCAATGACAGAATGGAGAGCACCACTGTGTATTGCCGGACGCCAAACAAAATTCCACGTATTTAATTGATTTAGTGCTTTGAATGGAGTTATCAGAAAGGGAATTTGAAATGAAAACTTCTAGTGGCCTCTAGAAAACTAGGATTCTACTTTGATAAAATGGAAAAAAAATTGAGACAGTGTAAATAAAGATTGTAGATTTCGAAAGTATTTATCCCATTCAGTAAAAATCAGCATAAACTGGGATATACTGGCCAAATCTAAAAGTAGTTATTATTTTCACACTAAATATAATGCGGTTAATGCATGACAAGCGGTATGCATTAGCAGAAAGATTCAGCTTTATAACAATGCAAAGTCATTCATCTGCCCCTATGAATGCCTCCTATCAATAAGATAGGAAAACCTTGTTGATTGCGACTTCGTCTGTCATTGCTAAAAACGATATGCCGACGTATCTGATGACAGTGACTCTATTATATTCTGTATCTCCCTGATGTACCTTATTTCACTGATAAGCTAAATCGAGGTTGTCACTACATATTAATCGAGCTAACGTTTATCATGAACAGTCCAACCTTCTTCATCATTGGAGTATTGCTGGAATGAGGCAATCTCAGTCGATAGCGCTCTTTCGCACTGCCGGCTATTGTTGAAATGATCATCCGTTTATAATTATTTGTTCCTCAACGGATGATCCATCTTCCAACTCATTAACTTGATTTTATTTTGTCTTCATGCACTGCGAAAAACAATCCCTATATAGTAACTAATCTTAGATAGCTCCTATTTCTATGTTACCTTATGTCGTCTAGAATAGCTGTCTACTTGTAATCTTCATACATCTATTCTTGCATATTCTGTAAATTGTCTCTTAACGACCATTTCATGCAATTGCCTCGCAGGTGGCTGGAAAGGGTATCAGCAGCGGTCAGCTGAATGTACTTTTCAGCATCTGCCGTCCCAAAAGTTTTCGAAGAGGCACCTACACCCTTCCACATGTAGGCCTATCAGATTGTGCTAGTAGAAAAACGTTTAAAACCTCTCCTTACGCACTGTCTTTAGTTCCTTCTGGCAAAGCTTCGCCCACTACACAAGTAATACAAACAGCCCATCAGCATTCGTCTTCGAGTGTTCGCAGCGTTCGTCCGGTCTTCATCCAGTCCCTCAGCTTCTCAGTGCTCCAACTCTAGTGTCCGCCTAGTTTCCTTCAATTGTATCACTTGTTCTCATTTCAATCTTGCTCGCATATACCCAACTAACCACATATCGTCACATTTTACCCGTTATTATTGTAGCGTTGTTATTGCTAAAAATTGTTATAACCTAAACTCGAGGTTGTCCACGGCAGTTACGGAAAAAGTCCCTCGTGGCGAATTCATACAAAGTCAAGCATTCCACGTACAGTTGGCGGACAAAAGACAAATCCGACCAACTCCCTAATCCGCTGGCCAACTGGCTCACCCTACATCATTAGCACATTACTCTACATGGAACAGTGAACTAAAAAACAAAACAAGTAGGCAGAAGTAGAGATATACATGCAGTATTAGCGAATAGGGTGCGTGTGGCGCAGTGGTCGAAGGCACTTTGTATTGCACACGTGGAATCGATCTCCGCTCCCATGGCCCACAAAGCCTTCCACACTGAGGGGCGGCACATTGCTACCAGACTTGTCTGGGAGGATAGCAGCACTGGCTCGATACACCGGTAGGCCACCGAGAGTCGTTGTAAAGGCTAGATATACATTAAATCACCTCCAAACAATGCTTAATGAAGTCGAATGCAAGGTGCATCTTTCAGAGATTGATAAACGCCGAGAGCTTTGTTCTTTATCCTTAGCTTCTATCAGCGAATCACGTAAGAGCAATAGTAATCATCAAATCTGAGTTTCTAAACAACAGTGTTCTACAGTTCTTATGTTATGAATGAAAGCTCAATAATTAAAAATGGTCAGGATGATTAGTGATGGGATTATTTATATCATCGACGGTAATTTTCACCGTCGTTGGTGAATCTTATAGAAATTCGTCATGCATTCCACTCCATTCGTAGAGGAAATTGAAGGCATGCTTGGCTTAAGCAATCACTTATGATGGCCTAGAAATGTGACAATTAAGTGTTTTTATCTTCTCAGACGGTTTTGGTGCTGATTCTCCTATGCTAGAGGGATAGAGATCATGCTTTATTCTGCGCACAGGGCAGAAAAGACGAAGATTTATTACATAGCACCTGTAGTCACTACGCTACACAGATCAAGCCGATTTTTATTTACTGTGTGGAAAAGGAAGAAGTACCGGTGCACTGTACCAATTCCATCAGCCCTCTGGACGCCAAAAAACGTTACACATGTGAAATCTTGCTTGGTCACCCAACGCTGCCCATGTTCTGAGAAAGAATGCCGTTCGAAACGATGTCGTCATCTGTTCGTTGCCTTAGCAACAAAGCCCGTCATCGGCGCAACAATCATTTCCGCCCTTAGTTCAGCCAAAGGAATCAGATTCTTCTTTGATATCCACAACAAGACAAATGGCATTCACTGCGATAAAAGATGGTGAATTCACTAGCACCATTTATGGCATGGTTAGCACTTTTATCGCTTTAATTCTTCTTGATTTACTTTAGGAAAGCAACCTTTTTCCTGTTTTGAAACCCTATATTTCAAATGCCTTTTTTGATTGAAGGGCTAGTGCTCTTCATCAAACATTCTGGGTTTGTACTTGTTTTATCCCTTTGTTACTTATTCTCCACAAGCTGTTTACTTCCAATTATTTCTTTCATTTACCTATCAAACACATTTTGTTTCTTAGTGTTGTTAAACCTTCTCCAGAAAATTTTTCGTTATTGTAAGAAAGAATGAATTAACAAAGGTGAAATTGAAAACATGTGTTTGAAGAAACTGTCAGAAATTGGAATAAATGGCCAGCTCAGTTTTCTACGCAGTAGTTATACTTGTTTCTAGATCAAAGATGAAAAATATGATGAGGCTATTCGAATACTACAACATGAAGTGGAACGAACTCCGTCGGTGAGTTCTCTTCCCTTTTAACCCTATCGTAACCTGATTCAGGATTCGGTTATTTTTGCTCAGTTTAAGAAATCATTATTTTTCTCCTTTGATAATCGTGCTTTAGAATCGCGCCGCTTACTCCTTGCTTGGGTACTGCTACTACTATAGTCAGGTACAGTAAGATAAGCACCATTGAAGCATTTCACTATTTCAATAGCCGCAACTTTAGTACGTAGTCTACTGTATTTCGAACACTTCCATTACAATGGCTAGATGTGTTCTAAACGTAGTTATTGATTCAATAACGAGCCCTGGTCTCATTGAGCCCTCGACCTCTGTAGGGTCGGCAAATTGATTCCAAATTTGTCTAAGATGATAGAAAGCACTGACTGGATACATCGGTTAACTCCAGGAATTATTGTGTACAGGAATTAAGCCTTTAACCATATCAATGAAACTGTGAACGGAGTCGAATGCATGGCGCACTCTTAAGGAATTGTCCAGCACGAAACGCTTTACGCCTTCCACAGCACACTTATTGAATGCGAGCTTGTTTAATTTTCTAGAGATTTAATTCTATATAGCTTTCAGGTCGTTTTCTTATTCAAATATATTGTATATCCTTTCTACTTTTGTTCAGCAAACACGAGGTGCTATTTTATTTCTTTATTTACATACAAGCCGACGTTTCGGCGGATTTCGCCTTCCTCAAGGCCGCTTTCTATGGGTGTTCCACTGAGTATGTCGCGTGAAGACCAAACCCCCCAGAATTTACATAGAAGCGTAACGTGCCTATTGTATATTGTATATTGTTGATATTGGCTCCTCATGGAATTGTATATATGTATATGTATATATATTGTATATATATGTATATATATGGTATAATGTATGATAATAATGTAATGTATAATATATATAATGTAGTGTATAATATATATAATGTAATGTATAATATATATATGATATAGTGAATAATACTAACATAATGTATATATATAAACTGCATATATATACATATGTATATGAATTGTATGTATATATTGTTGATATTGGCCCCTCGTGGAATTCCACGAAACCCGCGTCAGGGCGCCCTCGTTTCATCATCAAAGGGGCGGCCTCTAGCTCAGTAGATTAGGCCGTCATAGTTAAATAAAAACTGAGCAACCGAAGAAAAAGTGCTAGATAAATGAAAGCTTTCTGTCATATTGTGATTGCTTCTAGGTGTAAAGTGGTCTCTGTTACCCAGAGCACTTATTTCTATTATTACTGACTGAAAAGGATGAAAACGATCATTATCACTTTTGTCATTATTGCTTATAAACCACTATCATTTTTATCACTATCACTCACTCACGCTTACACGTTCCAGGATTTCATCAACGCCGTCGACAGCTATTCACGGCTTGTGAAGCTGTATCCAAATTTTCCTGAATACAAAATTTGCTATGCTCAGTCGTTGTACAACGCGTTCATGTTGTCCGAAGCGTTACAAGTTGTCTCCACGGCAAGTTTTTAACGATGACTACTTAATAATTACCTTATTTAGTTCTGAAACAACATTTTAAACGACTTATGTGCTAACTTCGCCCTATTACCCTGAGAAATAGTGCAACGAGCTCAAATCCACTTTAGACGTTTTTGTGAATTTCATCTCGTTGCTTCTGTAAAAAATATCGATGACGAAAGAGTCTGTTACATAAATTTACTAGCTTCTCTTACAGTTCTTCACAAAGCATTCCGTAGAGTGGGCTGAAAGTTCTACTTATTAGAACGATTAGTTAATTCGTAGCTACAACAGTGGACCATATCCATTTAGGCTATAGTGAAACATCGGCTTTTTCTTCCAATTTGGTCATTAATAGGTTTTTCGATGAAAAGAATCTCTTTCTTATAAAGATGGTTTTTATCTACAATAGAAATGGATAAAAACAAACTGTTCACTGGTAGGTAATGATGCTCTGTAAGCATGTGTAGGATTGTGATAAAACAGAAACTATAAAAGAACACGACTGTTAAAGGAAATCGCATGAGTGCTCAAGAATGTAACTACAGAATTTATGAACGTCGCATGTGTAAGTATTACTCGTTTTAGATCGAAGAAGAGCATCTACTGGGTAATGTGGTGAAGTTGGAGTCGGCAATCAAATATCGTGAAGAGGATCTAAACAACGCTCGCATACTTGTCGAACAATACCCCGCCGATGATCCAGACATCGAAATGAATTTGGCCTGTTTAGATTACAAGGTGCGGTTTATTTCATTTTTTTTGGGTAAAGCAAAAGGTGTAGCTTTTGAGCAGCCAACAGCGATTCACAAAACTACTTTTACTTCAACATCGAAATCTTGGCATGATAAACTTCAAAAAGAGCTCCTTCCTATCGCCGCAATAACTTCTATTGATTAAGTTGGACTGTTTCGATAGTTGCTTCTCGCTTTCTTATTCTACTTCGATTCTCCAGTCGTACCTTCGAAGATGGTTTTCTCACAGAAACGTTTTTATTTGTTCCATGTTTTTAACGTATTTTCTTTTCCTTCTTTTCTAAATCGCTGGACTGATAAGTAGGCACTTTATTCTTACACTGACTATCGCCCGCATTCTTCCAATTTCTAAAGCAAACACGTGGGAAGTAAAGAAGGAAAATAAAGCATTTGATTCTAGTCTATTTTCTAAAGGCGAGCTGAATCTATCGATGAACATCACAATTCTTCATCACCAAGTACCACCATTCGTCCATCGTGAGGCTACGTGAAGAAGGCGCTGACGATAAACACACAGTTTTTTCAACAGCAATGAGTTCGTTGAGGTTGTCCTTGAAAACGACACTATCGTTTTCTTTTGCGTCCCCGTTTTCGCCATCGTCGTCTTGCTTCCGTGGCGGCGGTAGTGTAAGCCCACGACAATGTTCCGTCTCAGCTTCATCTTGCTCCCAAGTCGTTGGATCGTCCCACTGGTGTGGACTGGTGTAAATACAACAGCAATTCGATTTCAAACGTCCAAAGTATTCATTGCCAATAACGTCCGCTGTCCATGTCGCATGCGGGTCTTTAGAAAGAGTTGCAAATCATAGGAGTCGGACGAGATCTTCCACTTCGTTGAAACTCTTCTCCGTGACGATTTCCCTCGTTAACATACCCGCCGTCGATGGCTCCATTGAAAACCAAATCAGTTTCAAAACACAATTTTTTCTCGCGCTATTGTCGTCTATGGCGATGGTCTACTGCGAACATTATGGTGCTCGCCAGGCCTACTCCATATTCCTGAAATCATTTCCAGCTGCGAATGCAGATGGTTGGCTTTAGCCACAAACATGTGCGCTCATTACTTGGTTGTCGTTGAAGGTGCTCTGATATTCCACCTTACTGTTTCCTTCGTCCATCTGTCAACTGTTGTTCTTATTATATGGCCACCCTTCTGTTCTTCGATATTCTAGGTTTTACTTACTGCTTATTTATTTATTCATGGTAGGGCACGATATGAACTTTAACCACAAGGATGTAAAGACATGAGTGAAACTCGGAACCCTAATTGAGCTTGAGACCCGCGACTACCAGGTGCTCACGTGCTATCCATCACACGACCCATATCTGTGTTAGACGAAATCTTTAACCATTTCCAGACTTTGGGATTTGTAGAGTAACACAATAGCGCAATAAATAGAAAAGATAGACAATGAGGAATTACTACAATAATCCTATCAGATAACGACAAAATCCTTCCATTAAGGATGGTGATTACGATAAAGCTTTGGAGCGGTTCAACAATGCGACCTCGATAATGGGATATCAGGTTCTTTACTCGTTTGTTACTTTATTCCACCAAAAATTATGATTCCGTTGCAGCCTGAACTGGCTTATGCCATCGCGCTGTGTCACTACCGAAAGAAGGAGTATCCACAAGCACTTAAATTTATCACCGATATTGTGAACCGTGGTATAAAAGACCATCCTGGTAGGTTGTTGCTCTGGAGCTGTATGTATATTAAAAAGACCGATTTTCTATAAACCCAGACAAAGTAATCGATATATACGCTGGCCTTGTTGAGCCGATGCGAATTTGGCATAAGAAGCCATTGTTGTTGTCGGTTCTGTAGTTCGATGGCTGACGTTTCCTCGAATTCGCTGTCTTTCCTTATTCATCAACAACAACAACAACTTAAACTGGCCTCGAATCAGCTCAACAAGGGTAGTTCGGGTATATTTTTGAATTGTTTAATATCGCTTTCTATGACTAAAAAATAAAAAGCTTTTTATATTCGCTATGTGTTTGCTGTGAAGCCGGTTGCTATCAGTATTAAACTGATCCTTCCAACGGTTAACCGCTTCATCGTCGCTAGGAGGTGTTCCTGGGTGTCGGGCTGCGATGTACAGCTAGTGATTCATCCCTTCAGCAGGGTCTTCGAAGCTGAGAAGGAGTCCGACGTTTCCATCAGGAAGCCCAGCTAAGAGTAAACCAGTACCAGCATCCACCACCGTGCTGGTATGAAACTAATCGCATGGTGGTAAATCTACTTCCGACGATTTACGAGTGCTGCGACAGCTTGTGGTACGCCGGTTAGATGGCGGCACCGAAATTCACGTTACGAGATATCGGAGGCGTTGGCTTCCTCGTACACCCATTCATTTCGTATCCATTTATATCATACGAAATCCTGCCACCGCATTTGGGCATTCTATGGTTTCATCTTCGGCGTTAAAAGAAAGTCAGTATCACCAACTGTTACTCACCAGTGTGTACACCTGATAGAAGAGAAATGGACGCGTTCTATAGTTGCGCCAGTGGGAAGTGAATAGAAGTTGCGCTGGGACCCATATTATCAATCAAGATGGTCCATCGAAGTATCCAAGTAAGCTATACCTTTTTATTTTCTGCCTACTATAATTTCGCGGCAGGGTACTAAGCGAAATACAACCACAACGTTGCTGAGATATTTGCAAAACTCTGGACCTCAGGTGTCTATGGTGGGGAACGAACGCGCTATTGTCCTTTCCGGGTAGTAGCGCGTTCACCACCACACCACGCTGGTCCTTCGTTTCGCCTGTCTCTCAGCTAGTTCTATCGATCTTTTGCCATCAGCAATCACCCATCAGCGGGATTGATCTGGGGAGCGCAAATCGGCATAGAACCCAAATCGGATGAAGGTTATTTCTATCGCAAAGAGAAATTTTAGTACTTTTTAGCATTTGCAGTTTGTTTCCGTTTAAAAAAGTGAATAAACTCTCCTAGCGGTGTTGCTGACGTTGTAGTACAAGATCTTTTCGGAATCAAAGGCATGCTACACCGCCAGCAATTTTACCACTAATTTTAAGCAGTTGAACACGTGAGCAAATGGATCCGTAACACTTAATTGGTTGGATTTCGATGTTAGTATGTAGTTGCGTTTTGATCACTGGTGGCTCAGTGAATATGACTTCACTGTTGCTGAGATATTTGCAAAACTCCGGACCGCAGGTGTATGCGGTGGGGAACGAACGCGCTATTGTCCTTTCCGGGGAGTAGCGCGTTCACCACAAATCAATCCCGCTGACGGGTGATTGCTGATGGCAAAAGATCGATAGAACTAGCTGAGAGACAGGCGAAACGAAGGACCAGCGTGGTGTGGTGGTGAACGCGCTACTACCCGGAAAGGACAATAGCGCGTTCGTTCCCCACCGCATACACCTGCGGTCNCTCCGGACCGCAGGTGTATGCGGTGGGGAACGAACGCGCTATTGTCCTTTCCGGGGAGTAGCGCGTTCACCACAAATCAATCCCGCTGACGGGTGATTGCTGATGGCAAAAGATCGATAGAACTAGCTGAGAGACAGGCGAAACGAAGGACCAGCGTGGTGTGGTGGTGAACGCGCTACTACCCGGAAAGGACAATAGCGCGTTCGTTCCCCACCGCATACACCTGCGGTCCGGAGTTTTGCAAATATCTCAACACCATTGAAGTTATATTTCACAATGTATTCCCTGACGTTAAAAAGAGGAGGCAGTAAATAATAAGTTAAAATCAGTGAATATGGTTTCACAAATTAAGAGATTTTTTTACGTGACCTGTCTTTCACATCTGATGAATGGATACCAGCACTTCTCACATTCGATTAGTTCCCTCGCATCCATTATCGATGAAAACTTTTCAACTTTTAGGTGTCGCTTTAGCTACTGCTTGAGGATTTCCTTTTAATCATGAATATCGATGAACCTTGTCGAGTCGATTCTCTATGAAGCTCGGTGAGCACGGGCGGAATTAAACGAGCACCGTGCTCGCCATAATCAGCATCACTATCAGTGTGCGAACCGCTGCGCAATTCATGAAGTAGTCATTGGGAAATTACAGCATTAGTTGAGTAGTATCTACGAACACTTGTTCGAATACTTGTGTGACCTGTGCTGACAAATTATTCAGGCTCCTGCCTATGATTACGTTGTTTCTTTCATTCGCGATTGATGCATGACAAAAAACTGCAGGCGTACAAATCTTAAATTGCATGCAGTCTGAAAGGACTTTTCTACCTAACGTTTTGTAGAGATACGGTCATTATCACCTACTAGACTGTCTTAACCCCACATGTTCTCAAATTATCGAAAATTTCTCGTTTATTGTCGACAAAACCAGTATTGCCTTGCTTACACAACTGACGAGTTCTAATGTTCTTGAGCAGTCACCGAATCATTACTGGTAGCGTACGTGCTAAATCTACTAAACCTCTCGACCATAAAGGAATGCTTCCATATTCACCAAAAATTTCTGAGACGTGAATTTTTTTTGAAATTTCTTTTAGCATTACATGTAATCTCGGAAGAACCTTGGGCATTTAGTGTGATCGGATTTCTGGCATTATGCAACGCATGTTGTCCATCGAAATGTTTGAATCCGATGACATGGTAATCTAACCAAATAATTACTTCAAAATTACTTCATTTAACAATTTCTGTATCAGAGACAAAATTTAAGTGATGCCTTTAAGGTATGAAATGGGTTGCTGAAAATGATTGTGGCCTATGCATCGACAAGCAGATGCCAATTTAAAACTACTTCTAGAACTTGGTGTTGGCATGGTGACTGAAGGAGTAGACTTACAATCTGTCGGCAATACAATGAAATTACATGAGACTTCGCTGGTGGAGGCATTAAATTTGAAGTTTGCTGTCGAATACAAGCTAAAAAACTGTTAGTTTTCGTTTATTTTTTGTCTATTTTTCTATTGTCTCTTCATTTTACATGCACCAATCACTAATTTAAGCTTGTACAACTAATGCGCAGAGAAGTAGGATTATGGATTAGGATAAAGTAGGATTAGGAGTATTCCAATCACTTTGCTGGAGTACATATGAATATGAATTCTGCTATAGTACTGCTACAGGTTTTGCTTGTAGGCCTCCTGCACCACACACATGGAATCGATCCCCACGCTCATGGCCTATCAAGCCTTACATCCCTCCGGGGTCAGAAAATTGCTACCAGACTTGCCTGGGAGGATAGCAGCAGTGGCTCAATACATCGGTTGGCCACTGCGACTAAGGTCAGATGTGCATTGAATCACCTCAAAACGATGCTTAATGAAGTCGAATACACGGCGCATCCCTCAGGGATTGATCAATGCCGACAGCTTTATTCTTTATTACTCTACTACAACAACTGGTATAACCGACGTAACTATATAAAACCCCTTTCTTACAAATACCACAGAACAGCTCAGTCTACCTCCATTTTCCTGATTGCGCGGATTTTTTTGTGTGAATTTCAAGATAGCTTTGTTGGAAATTCGATAGTGTCATCGTCGTAGTTAGCAGTTCATTGTCTTTTTAATCAAAGGAGATTTATCTTGTGAATGCAGGTTTTTCTTTTGCATCAAATTGCTCACAGCTCGTATTACGGAAAGAGACGTCGAACCCCTTTCATTGGAACACCTACCTCTTTATGAGCCTTCTGCTTAACATCGTAGCTCGACACGTAAGAGTATGCTTTGAAAGGCGGGAGGAGGCCACTAGAAATGTCCATCGTAGATATAAAATCGAGTATGGAATAAAATATCATGAAATCGTCAAAATTAAATTCGTGCTTGCTTATGGCTAACGCAGGCGGTGAACCCGTAAACCATCTGAACATCATCCAAGCTGGATGTTTATAATCATAATTCTATCCCAGAGTGCAAAGAAGACTTCTATTTATCTAAATGCCAAATGCCAAAGATTGAGATGTTAGGAATTTTATAATCGTAGACCCTTGAGTTAGTTATGCATCTGTTTCAGTCGCAGCCGCTCAAGAAGCGCTAACCGACATGCCTCCGAGAACTGAAGAAGAGCTTGATGCTGTCACGCTTCATAATCAGGCTCTGATTGGTAAATTTTGAATAGAATCCGAGCCAGTTTCGTATCGAAGTATGCTCACCAAACAGTTACGGCTCTATAGAGTGAATTCAGTAGCATATTTAAAATTCTACGGACCTATCTAGGCCATATCTAGAACACCCGAAATCAAAGCTACACACATGTTTTCGGCAATACCATAATGCCGAGTCGTTGTTAATGGATAAGTTAGACGAAATGGAAATGTGTTGCCTCAGAAAGACAATAACCTCAATAAAATTACGACAATCCTGTCTTTCATTTTTGAGAAAGTGGGCACTAGTACTTAGTAATGCCCGACAGAGACAGGTTGGAAAAATCGGTGGCAGTGGTCGAAGAGTGAACGAGAACCATAGAGTGGCTGTCAGCCACCAATCATTGGTTTATTCACCTCTTAATTTTTTGTACCATAAGAGCTATCGCCTTTAACGCTTTACCGATTCTTAGTGACTGGGAAATGTTCCTGCGGCGATGTGCATCAGGAGGTTCACCGCTGCAGCAGGGCCTCCCAAGCTGAGAACAAGTCCTACGTTCCCATCCAGAAACTCGGCTAAGAATAAAACAATAGCAATACAAGGAATAACCACCGTCTTGGTGTCAAACCATTCGCATGGTGACAAATCTCCATCTGATCATCAAGGGCAGCGACTGGCTGGGGAGGTGATGACGTGAGGAAGACTTCGTCTAGGTTGACCTCAGGACTCCAGGAAAACACAATGGCTAAACCAGAATATCTTTGATGCAAGTAAGTAAGTAAGTAAGTCGTAAGAAAAGTAATTAAGTAAAATAGGTAGGTAGGTAGGTATATAAGTAAGTAAAGTAAGTAAGTAGGTGGGTAGGTAAGTAGGTAAGTGAAGCAAGTAGGTAAGCAGTTAAGTTAAGTAAGCAAGTAAGTAGGTAAGCAAAGTAGGTAAGTAACTAAGCAACTAAGCAAGTAAATGAAGTATCACCTGTAGTCCCGTTGATCGTCAAGTGACTCCAGCGGGCGCCAGTAAATCTTCCATTTTTCCCTGTCCATGCAAGAGTAGCCCAGTGGGTTCTCCTCGCCCTAGGGACTCGTCGAGCATCATATCTTTCTTCAAGGCTCTTAGTGAAAAACTCTGACCATCGGGTCGGTGGTCTTCTTGCAGTACGTTTGAAATCCCGAGGAATCCAGTCACTAACGGCACTTATCCATCGGTTGCCATTCATATGCATTACGTGTCTGGCCCAGCCTATCCTCGACTTTGACATACAGAATGGCATCTTTGATTTTTGATCGTTGACGTAGATCGGAACTTCGGAACCCATCCCTTACTTATGTGGAACAGGATACTCCTAGCATCGTCCTTTCGGCTGCGCGTTCGATAACGCTGAGTAATCTTTCATCCTGCTTACACAGCGGCCACGTTTCTGACGCATACGTTAGGGCAGGAAGTACCGTTGAGTCGAAAGGGTGGGAACGGAGTCGGGTGTTCTTTGTTCTCTACACTACATCCTCAATGTTCTTGAAAGCTTCCCAAGCCGCTCGTTTTCTTTTGCTCAGCTCTGGAGCTAGGTCGTTCATTATATTGATTTCCCGACCTAGACAGATATAACTGGAGTATTCAGGGATATTCGTTCCGTTGAGCGTGAATGGGGCAAGCGAAACCAATCCGTTCGTCATGAACATTGTTTTTGCTAGATTTATTCGAAGACCAATCTTTCCACAGGCTTTATCAAAGTCGTCAAGCATACGTTTCGCTTGGCCAATGTTTGGTGTTATAAGGACGATATCATCAGCAAAGCGAAGATGGTGTAATTGCCAACCACCGATTTTCACTCTCATATTTTCCAATTCCAATGTTTGCACGACGTTCCCAGCCTCTGCAGCCTCGACCATTACTGCTGCTTTTCTCTCTCTAATATCTTCTTTTATCGCCTGTCTGTACTGTTTTGGCAAATTCGGGCGTTAGTTCGCGGCTGCTTGCAGCACGTGCGATTCCATGCTGGTGTGTCAGCTCGAGTGCTTCTGGAGACAGACGCTTCTTGGTGACTCTCGATCTCTCAACTTTCATAGCGCTAATGTGAAGATGTTGAATGAGCCGATCGTATTCTTCGTCGATGTTATCGACAACGGCATCTTCCACACAGCCGGCTAATGAATTGAATACGTCCCAGTTTACGGTGGTTCTGGTACTTCGATTTTGGAATTTAGCGGTTTTTTTCTCTTTTCCGCGAGAAATAAAATCTCGCACGAAGACGATGGTCTGATCCCGTGTAGAATTTTGAGACAACAGCGACATCGGTTAGACAAAACCTATTTATTATGATGTGGTCTATTTCGTTATGGTACTCTCCATTGCGAGACTCCTACGTCCAGCGCTGAGGGTGGGGCTTCTGGAATTGCGAGTTAGCATGGGTTGTCTTGGTCGCCATGATAAACTCAGATAGCCGCTCACCCTGTTTCTTCCATTCTAATCCGTCGGTCCCAATGCGACGATTTTCAGACGTTCTTCTTAGTCCAATCTTGGCGTTGAAACCTCCAATGATGACCTTGAAGAATGTATGGTCTTCTATGGAGAACTTCTCCAAGTCCATATGGAACGCTTTGACTTCTTCTTCGTCATGGTTTGATGTCGGCGAGTAAACGACGAAGATTATCAAAGCCGGTGTTGATCCACATCTTTTTAATCGTAAACGATCGATTCGGATTGTAAGCTGTTCGAATGAATCGATGTTCATGGACAAACTCGTGTTGACGAAATGCCGACGCCGCCGAGTCCTGTACCGTCGCGTGTTCCGAGGAACAGTTCTTTTCCGGTGTCATAGACGGCGTTGAAAGGCTGGAGTCTACTCGTTTCGGCCAGGCCGATGAAGTCGTACTTTATCGTTCTTGGTGCGATGAGTAAGTCTTTGGTCCGCGATTAACCCTCTATACGCCACCTGGGGAAGCGCCACGTAGCCTCGCGACTAACCGGCTCGAGATCCTTCGTATGAGGGAGATCCGTGGAGATCCTGATAAAGTAAATGAAGTAAATTAGTAAAAAACTAACTAAAGCAAGTAATCATGTTGGTAAGTAAGTAAATAAGTAACTAAGTAAGTAAGTGAGTAAGCAAGTAAGTAAGTAAACACGTAAGTAAGTAAGTAAGTAAGGTAGCGGCTGCGGCGCAGTGTAATAAATTTGGTGGATATCATCATTCATTAGTCATACCAAGGAAATCAGTTCACATATTGAAGTCTCAACGTTCTATCGTTTCGTCGCTTTCAGGAATCGATAGGAATCCAGCTGATTGTTTCGCAAAGCTACAATATCTGCTCAGTCAAAATCCATTTCCACCTGAGACATTCGCTAATCTGTTATTGCTGTACTGTAAGTACGAAGTAAGTCAATTCTATAACACTAGTAGTATAGAACCCAACTAAAGCAAAGTGCATATTGATTACCTCAAGAAGCTTGTTGTAACGAAAAGGTCATCATCTAAGCATGAGATTTCTCTCGGTCATTATCTAACATCGAGTTTTTTTTGTTACAGTATTACGATCTTGCTGCTGATGTGTTGGCTGAGAACACTCATCTCACTTTCAAATATCTTACACAGGTTAAGCCTAACGTGATTACTCATTGTTTCCATTGTTTGAAAAATGCTTTAAACTTTGAGGCGTTTCGTTTAGGCTCGTAAGTTTGCAACTTTATTAACTCATTTATTTAATTCCAGTATCAGTACGATTACTTGGATGCCGTTATCAATCTTCAAACATCACCTGATGAGGCATATGCGAAGTTTGACGCGATGGCAAATGATCAACTTAATGAGCTTCGTAATCTCACCAAGCGGGTTCAGGTTTGTAAGCAACGGTTTCTTTCTTTTAATAAAAATTCCGTCGACAAAACATTTCCTCTAATAAATTTGTTTATTTCATGGCAGGTACTTCAGTGAGGCGGTAGCTTTTAAAGGGAACTTTTGAACAGCATCTAACAAGAAATTTATGCAAACATAATCGGTTTTCTCAGGATGTATAGATTAGGTCAAGGGTGTAAAGTTTACACATAGTAAGCCTCCTCTATGAAGATAATCGCTACCCTGCGACCCAAGTCGCGCTACGATTCGTTGTCGAAGACTTGCCTTAGGAACGATGTCGGCGAGTTTTGTGATGCCGCTTGTCGGTCACCCAATACATCAATTGTAAGTTCATGCCTGTTTCCTAGCACAAGTTTGCAGTCGCCACTTCCTATGGCATGTTCAGCTCTGCTTGGCTTCAAGAATTCTGCCTGAATTCAAGAATTTAAGAATTCACAAAGTTCAACAGCACAACTGAATTCCCATCGCAAGTAATGGGTAGAGTTCGGAATATTTCCGAAGGCACATTTAGTCTAAGCCTTATAAATATCGATGATACTTTCTTGAATTATTAAGCTAACATGACGTTGATGAAACGGTTTATTCGGATAACCTTTCGTCTTCCTCAGAGCCGGATTGAACCGAGTGGATGATCAACATGTTGTCGTCCTCGCCATGTGGTTATTCGTTGCCGCATTGAGTCCAGTGAAGTGAACATAGCTCGAATGGTAAACTTCGCTCAGCGGTGCACAACGAGTGTTGATCGATTGCCACTATCCAGTATAGTCTACTTTGGGTGGGCACTGCATCCTGCAGAAGTCAGGATTATACTGGCTAGCACAAAGCGAATCGACATTTTTAGAACCGACCGGCGTTTAAACTCAGCATTAGTAATCAATATTATCTTGGACTACTAAACTAACACGAGTTGACAAAAAGTTTATTCGACTGGCATTACCAACCTTGTATGAGTTTAAAATAATCCTAGGAGGTATTGATTATTAATGTCGAGGCTATATGACAGTTAGTTTAAAAAAATCGGTATTATCATCCTAAATAACTCCGATCGCAATTTCAATAGCTCAAGATGGTATTTGCCTTCTTTAAGGGTTCAATAGAAACCTAGTGCAGCCTGGTGGTAGGTGGCCGTGATTTCTTACTGTAAAATCTGATGAACACTAGTTCCATCTCTAGAAAAATTTTTTCCAATTTAGGAAATTCGACAAAGTAATGACGAAACAGCGGCACGTAAAGCTGTCGAAGCATTCGATGAAACGCTGGAATTGTATGTGTTATGGAGCTCGGAGCAGATGTAGAAGTAAAATTACCATACTTATTTAGATATCTACCGATTCTGATGTCACAAGCGAAAATTTATTGGGACAAATGCGACTACGCGAGAGTGGAAAGGATATTTAGGTGAAGCTGATCACTATACTTTCACATTATAGAGCTATCGGGTATGGCAGTACATTTTGCTCTGGATAATTACTCTCCACACCATCGTAGGAGAGATACCTGACTTGTGCGGAAGAATAAAAACACCGTGTTAGTGCTTCGGTAGACCACAGAAAATCATTACATAGGACAAATATGCAGTGGTTCTCTCACTCTACGAGGCTACAAATTAAATCAAATGCGTGGCGCATTTCCTGATGAGTTGATCGAAACCTTATGCTTTATCGTTCTTTCCCGTACAACACTTTCATCTGGCGTGATTGTTAACAGCAGTACGTACGCTCAGTACATTAGTTCAGAGCAGATGTTCGGAGTTTTGCAGGAAATCTGTCGAATTTTGTAGTGAACACGATATATGGAAGTTGAATGTGGCGCATACGTTATTCATGCAGGTATGATAGGATGAAATCGTATTTATACTCCACATAAGCTGGAATTCATGTATTTTCGTCCTTCTTTTCGCAGTTTTCAAGATTTTTAGGAACAAAAGTTCAAAGAAGCTGCCGGCTTTTATGAGCCAATTGTCAGCAAGAATTTTGTTAATGTAGGTTTCTGAATTTCATTTACAAGGTACATACACTTGTCAGTAACATTTCCTCATATTTTACTGTATGTTTTAGACTTTCTAATAACATAATAATGCAAATAGTGAAGTTCAAAAACCAAAATATAGTTCAAGTAAATGGATGCTGCAAGGGACTGTAAACGAAATCGTGCCACTCCCACTTCATTTATTCTTTGCACACTATGCATTCGGAAGGGTGATAGCGTAGTTGTATTGATGCCGTTTATCAAGAGCAGGGTACCGCTTCGACCCCGCTTCGGGCTGACCAGAGCTTTCATCTCTCTAGAGTCGGGAAATTGGTGCCAGATTTGTTTAGAAAACTTCAATTCTTGCGGACTAAGTGGGAACGCTATAGCTTGGTTATTCCAGTACTCTAGGGAGAATCGACTTGACCAGCATTCACTGACTTTCACAAAGATTACAATCCTTAAACACCAACCGAGCCTGCACGCGAAATGTTCGGAGACCTTCATCGGTTGTGTACGAGGAAACAAATGGAATACAAGAGCTGCTAGGAACCGCACAGTAGATGTGAAAACGAGTCGTGTGAAATAAAAACACTATCCTCTATTTTTCGGAATTTTTGAGGGAAGCCATGAAAGAATTCGAGAAAACTTGTTGATCCCGATTATTTGTCAGAGTGAGAGTGAATAGATGTGATGTCATTCTGTCAAGCGCCAAACTGCATATAGTATGTCTAAATAGTTAGTGAAAGATGTAGATCAACAAGTCAAACAATATATATGATACCCTCTCAATTTGTGTTAAAAAATGAAATGAGTGACATTTGGAAACATTTTAGGGAGAAGATATAAATATTTCATTCTTTATGAGATGTTTTTCAGCTACTTGAAGTGTCAGCAATTATTCTCGCCAATCTTTGTGTCTGCTACATTATGACAAACCAGAATGAAGAAGTTTGCTATTTAACGTTTTTTCCATTTTTTATTACATCTCCTATCGACTTTTCTTCACGAGACCATTTGTTTCATGCGGAAGAATTGATGCGAAAAGTCGAAAGAGAGGAAGAGGATGCTAGGGAATTGGACGAAGGACGAAAGATTTTTCATGTGTGCATCATCAACTTGGTAATCGGAACTCTCTACTGCAGTAAGGTATTCTCGTGATTCTGTTCAGTTATCACCAATCCAGAGAAAACCTGCCTTCGTTTGCAATTTCATAGAATTGCAGAGGTGGTTGAATACGTATCTGGTTTATACCATGGGCCTGTCTGTAAGTTAGATCAGTGCTGCTGTACTCCAAGACGTGTTTGAAACCCATTGCCCATGTTGAACGCATGGATGGCTTGCACCATGGAACCGAACCAAGGATCATGTTTACAATGTATATCTATCCAATCCGTCACACATGCCGCCCATGATAAAAATTGTGGATGAAAGTTTCTACTCTGATATCATTTACACGTTAATGTAGTGAAGTCGACGTGTTCTAAGAACGTCAACTCTAAGAATATATACCAGTACCGACAGCTGTGTTTGAACACATAAAATCATTTGAATTTTGTAATGTTAAGGGTAATTTCGAGTTTGGTATTTCTCGTGTTATTAAAGCAATGGAGCCACAAGAACGAAAACTTGGCACTGACACTTGGTATTACGCGAAAAGATGCTTGTTGGCAACTATCGGTAAAGATTTCATTGTTTGACGTTCATTTTTGCAAAATAAACTTCAGAAATGTGAGTGAAATATTTAGCTTCCAGCGATCCACATAGAGGCACATGTAACAATAAGAGGGCAGTTTCGGCACTGCACGACATTCGTTCTGTGATTGCGATGTAGTTATGACGTTATACGTGCACGTCATTAAACATTCGAGTTGTTCAAGCGCCAGAGTGTTCTACTAAAGACTTTGGAAAAAAAGTTTTCGGCGTTGGTCAATCCCTGAGGGATGTGCCATGCATTCGACATTCATCGCTCATTCATTCTGCATCGCTAGAGGCGATTGAATGCATATCTGGCCTATAAAGTGACTCATGGTTGCCCACTAATAGTGTATCCAGTCAGTTCTGTTATACTCTCAGGCAGGTCTGGTACCAGTTTGGCAACTCCGGAGAGATGAAAGGCTTGGTGGGGCTGGGAAATTGTAGCTAACCTATGTGTATTGCAGGGCACCTCTGGCCACTGCGATACACCCCACTCCCATTGAAGACTTATTTAACTGTTATCTTGGATCATAAAGAGCATGTTAAATAGTATATGAAAAACTTCAGCGCTTCATTTTGGAACGGACAAGAACTAGTTAAGAAGTGACAGTTTTTCTTGATGGTGCAAAATAAACAACTTTAAAAAAGAAGGAGGTTTCATTAAAACGCTGAAACTACTTATGGGCTAGGAATGGAAATCAATATTGTAACTTACAGTCCCGAGTTTTGAAAATATCTAAGCATTATTATGGTTGTATTTCACAAAATACTCCGCAGTAAAAAGCTGTAGTAGGAAGAAAATAAGAAGCTAACAATATTGTACAGTTATTACAAATACGTAGGAATCTAGACACCAACTAAGACAGACAGTACAGTTATAAGATAGTAACTGCACGTTGATTATCATACCCCGGTTTACCATGATGTTTTGTGAGAAGTTCTATTTCAGAGACAATGGCTAAGCATCTTGTCGTTATACGCGATTCCGTTGTACATGAATGTCTCAAATTTCTCGAAAAATGCGAAGGTGAGAGTTAAAGAGTTTAAACTTATAGTTTAACACTGACGAGAATAGTACTTTCTCCTTCAAGTAGCACAAATAGTAGTGACTAAAATAATACAAAGAATCTTAAATGTTTATATTAGATATGTAACATTTCTTCCATAAGCTTATACGAAATTGGTAAATATTTCTTATTCGGCTGTTTCGACGTCTTCGCTTTCATCGCAGCAGATGTCATGTTGATTGATCATGCCGAGGTTAAAGGAAAGCCAATTGTAAAATATTTACTTAGATACTTAAACGGTTAGTTTTCACGAGTTGTGCGGAGTCCAACACATTTTAACTCGTTTCTTTGCCTCACAATCGTCGTCAGTGGCGGTAATTTGATTTAAGCATGGTGGTCGGTGTAAGTCTGAGACCGTGAACTGTAAAACAACAGCAGTTATTTGATTTTAGTTACGAACAAGTTTTCCCAATGGGTAGGTACTTGTCCTAGGAGACACCTGCATCTTCGTGGAGTCCTCTCTACAGTTGTTTTCCACCGCCAGTCTCTTTTTCTTCTTATAATGTGGCCGACCTACCCATGTTTCGCTATTCTGTGAGTAGTACCCAATATTCCTCATATGTCTGAAGAATCGACTCAGATTCGAGGTAAAAGGATTTCGCAGGAGACGACGAGGTAGACAATTGGCGCGTAGGCAACAAAGCCTACGCTACCGACAGTTCATGATGGAACCGTTTCTCAGCGGTCCCGTTGTTTAGTTGGCGCACGCCGGTCTGCCCACTTTATCTTTCTTGTACGGCGATCACATGGAATTTAATTCGATCTGATGCTTCAAACACATAGTAAGAAACTTTTGCGGCCTCTCACTAGTTGATTTACCGCCTGACCTCATGGGCAGAGTAACCAGTGCGCATGATTCTGAAGCTGGACTATTGTTGGATGGGAAATTTGATCTTTTCTGGAGATCTGACGTAACGTTGCGAGGAAGTTTCTGGTTCTGAACCACGACATGAGTCTGAAGGAGGTGTCTTTTCGCAAACGATTCCTTTTTTAGGTTTCCCTACTAATTGATTCGGACACGATATTAAAGTCGAATCCAGGAACAGTAGGGATGAAAAGTGGTCAGCTGTTTAAAAAAGGTGTAAAAGCAAGACCAGAAGATAGAAACTTAGAAATTATCGCTGCTGTCAGCAGTAAGCTTCATAGGGAGTGTTTAGCGGTAGTGATGCGGATCATCACAAGCGCGGCCCTGATTTGGCCCAGCAGCGGACTCATAAAGCCTTTTATCCCTTCATGGTGAGGAACTTGGTTCTAGACATGTCTTAGAACAGCATAAACCCTGTATTCCAAATAGGATTCCAAGATTCCTTTATTCCAGTTATACCAGCACTCTAAGAAAAATGAACCACGTAAGCTTTCAATTAGTGAGGAAGATGACGATCCTCAAGCAATAGCCAAATGAACACGTGAAAAGTCTGGAGTGCTTCGTGGACGATAGAAGTGTAGACACAAATCGAGTGTAAGAATTCCTGAGATCGGCAACGTAGATATGGGAACGGATTGAATAAAAAAAACTAGACTCTACTCCACACCAAACAATTAAGACTATATTAAATAAAATTCTATTTACAAGGAGACCTTCTATTTTACCAATAAAGTAGCTTAGGTGATAAATATGGGGATTATTGAAAAGACCAGATAAGAAACTTTATATTTTATATCACTGAGAGGAAAGAAAAGGATAATAGGCATCAAACGTTTTAAGATTTTGTCATGAATTTCAGTACATGGTCGAGAAATTCCAACAATAGTAGATGGTCCACTAGTAGAAGACCAGGTCGATCCAATCAAGAGTACTGTTGCATACGAAGCAAGGCTAATGAAGTCATTACTCCTGCAACTGATAAGCAATTAAACACGTCATATTATCAATATTGCTAATAAAAGATCAACCTCGAAATTGGACATAAACATCTGCTTATTCAACATCAAAAAGAGAACCAGAGTGTAATGTACAGCATATAGAAAAATACTAAAAAAGAAATATTTGGAAAATGTTTTAAAAGAACGTGAAAAAATGTTTAAGAAAGAAGGTTACCACGAAACCCAGAATAATAAAAATATAAAGAAGAAATACGGCATCTCAGGTCGCCAACCACAGAATGTCGACCAGCAATGCGACCAGGAGCAGAATTTTCATAAAACACTGAATTAGTCAAACCAATTGTGTTCGCCAAAACACCAAGGAAACCTTTCATTATCACAAAACAAAGTGAAGAGATCAATTGTATTCTGCAGAAAAAAGCAGACAAACAAAATCCAAAAACTGCCATGAACACTCAACTACTACTAGACAACTGCTCGAATTCCCGTTCATAAGTGCGAGACCCATGCCTCATACTGGAATCGAAAGAAAGATCTGTTTACAAGAAGGACGCCTGCTCCTGAACCAACGAAGCTTCCGTAACGCTCTTCATTACATGTGCTAGAATAAAATTTGAGCAAGTACCTCATCTTATGTGAAACGTGATGATCTAACATGCATATGTCGCTTCCACCATTGATACACCGTCTGCTCATGCCGGAATCGAACCGCCGAACTTCTGCTTACTAGACAGACGCTCCGACCCTGAGCCAATGAGGCCTCGTTAGCGCTTTTCACTACCACCGCTCAAACAAATTTTAAACAAGCAACCACGCTTATGTGAAACGGGACGGTCTAACATGTTTATGTCGCTTCCACCAGCCCTGAGCCGTTGTCTAATGCTGGGATCAAACCAGTAGCTTCTATTTAAAAACGCAGACCCTTTGTCGACTACGAGGCGGGTCTTCCCTGCCTAATTTCGTCGTAGCTGTAAAAATAAACAACAAACAAGACGCTCCACAGCTTCAAGCTGGAATCGAACCACTGACCTTCTGTTTACAAGACACGCTTTGCCCCTTAGTGTGCCATCGGTAACGCTTTTAGCTACCATTGCCAAAACAAAGTTTGAACAAGCAACTCTTCAAACGGCGAATGTGATGGTCTAAAATGTCTATGTCGCTTCCACCAATGCTGAATTGTGGCCACATGACTGAATCGAAAAAGCGAACTTCTGCTTACTAGACAGACGCTCCGCCGCTGCGCTAATGAGGCCTCAGTAACGCTTCTCCCTGCAGTTACTGAATTGGACTTTAAACAAAAACAGTCCTTATGTGAACACAGATGGTCTCACACGTTTGTTTTTCTTCGTATTTTTGTTGAGCAAACGCGAGGTGTTATTATTTTTTGCTCACGACATTATACTTCCACGTGATTTCTGTGCTGTTGGTCTCTACGTGACATACTTAGTGGAGACCTCATAGAAAGCGGCTCTGAAGAAGGCGAAATCCGCCGAAACGTCAGCTTAATCGTGAACAAAGAATAATAACACCTCGCGTTTGCTCAACAAAAATACGAAGAAAATCACTTGATCAATGCCGAGGTTAATAGAAAGTCGGTCGTGGCCGTTACTGCAAGATGACACGTTTGTATCGCTTCCACCAAAGCTTAACTGCTGCCTCATGCTTTAATTGAGCCAGAGAACTTCTGTTTGCTCAATAGACGCTCTGCCACTGAGCCAGTGAGACCTCTGAAACACTTCTAGGTAAGACTGTCGAAACCAATTTTCAACAAGCAATTCTTCTAACGGAAAACGTGATGGTCTAAAATGTCTATGTCGCTTCTACCACTGCCAAAGTGTTGCCTCATGCTTCAATTAAACGAGAGACTTCTTGTTTATTATTTATTAGAAAGACGCTCTGCCGCTGAGGCAATGAGGCTTCGACAACGCCTTTCACCACTATTGCTGAAAGAGGAATTGAACAGGCAACCCTACTCACTTGAAAAGCGGTGTTCTGACAGTTGGCTTTCGCGATGAGCAATGCAAAACCGCTGCCTCATGCTGGAATCAAAGCAGAGACCTCCTCTTTACTAGAAAGACGCTCTGCCCCTGAGTCAATAAGGCTTCTACTACGCCCTTCACTATAGCTAGTGAAAGAAGTTTCAAACAGGCAACTCTACTTGTGCGAAAAGTGCTGTTTTCACTGTTGGACTTCTCTCTAAGCATTGCAAAAGCCCTGCCTCATGCTAGAATCGAACCAGAGGCATTCTATTTACAATACAGACGCTCTGCCTCCGGGCCAATGAGGCTTCTACGACCTTTCACCCAACCACTGGTGAAAGAACTTTTAAACTTATGAAAGAAAGAACTTATGGAATTTTGAACATGCGAGTACACTTGTGCGAAAGTGGTGTTTTGACAATAGGACTTCTCGCTGAGCATTATAAAATTGCTACCTCATGATGGAATCGAACCAGAGACCGTCTGTTCACAGGACAGACGCTATGCCCCTGAGCCAGTGAGGCTTCTTCTACGCTTTTCACTGCCATTCCTTAATAAGGTTTAAACAAGCTCGTACCCTCATATAAAAAGTGCTGTTCTACCAGATGAACGTCTCGCTGAGCATTGCAAAGTTGTTACCTCATGCTGGAATCGAACCAGCGACCCTCTGCTTCCTAGACAGACGCTCTGCATCTGACCCAATTAGTCTTGTTCTACACTTTTCACTGCCATTACTTAATGTCGTTTAAACAAGCGCGTACCCTTATATAAAAAGTGCTGTTCTACCAGATGAACGTCTCGCTGAGCATGGCAAAATTGCGGCCTAATGCTGGAATGGAACCAGAGACCGTCTTTTCATAGGACAGACGCTATGCCCCTGAGCCAGTGAGGCTTCTTCTACGCTTTTCACTGCCATTTCTTAATGACGTTTGAACAAGCGCGTAACCTTGTATGAAAAATGCTGCTTTAGCAGTTGGACTTCTCGATGAGCAATGCGAATCCGCTGCCTTAATCTGGAATCGAACCAGTGACTTTCTGTTTACTAGATAGGCCCCTATACCTGAGAGAATAAGGCTTCTGCCACGCTTTTCACTGCCATTATTTAACGACGTTTTAACTAGCGCGTAACCTTGTATGAAAAGTGCTGTTTTGACAGTTGGAGCTCTCGTTGAGCATCGCTCCGCTTCTGAGCCAATGAGGCTTCTTCTACACTTTTCACTGCAATTGCTTAATGACGTTTTAACAAGCGCGTAGCCTTGTATGAAAAGTGCGGTTTTGACAGTTGGACTTCTCGATGAGCATTGCAAAATTGTTGCCTCATGATGGAATCGAACCAGCGACCTTCTATTTACTAGATAGGCCCCTATACCTGAAAGAATAAGGCTTCTGCCACGCTTTTCACTGCCACTACTTAATGACATTTGAACAAGCGCGTAGCCTTGTATGAAAAGTGCTGTTTTGACAGTTGGAGCTCTCGTTGAGCATTGCAAATCCGCTGCCTTATTCTGGAATCGAACCAGTGACTTTCTGTTTACTAGATAGACGCTCCGCCTCTGAGCCAATGAGGCTTCTTCTACACTTTTCACTGCCATTAGTTAATGACGTTTAAACAAGCGCGTACCCTTGTTTGAAAAGTGCTGTTTTGACAGTTGGACTTCTCGATGAGCATTGCAAAATTGTTGCCTCATGATGGAATCGAACCAGCGACCTTCTATTTACTAGATAGGCCCCTATACCTGAAAGAATAAGGCTTCTGCCACGCTTTTCACTGCCATTACTTAATGACGTTT